CCATACTCAAATTTTATTGTCAATCCATACACAAAATTTTCAAAACTTTATTGTCCCCGAGTTACTGTCCGCGGTGATGACGTATAAGGCGTAATTTATTGTCCGCGGTGATGACGTATAAGGCGTAAGCCCGCGTATAAGGCGCAAGTAACGCGTTTATTGTCCGCGGTGATGACGTATAAGGCGTAAGCCCTGGGCGAGGGTACTAATTCCGCCGGCTAATAATACCCGGGTATGTGAAAACATAGCGAAGTTCAAAGCAGTGAATTCCATGTCTTTTATCTGGAACGATAACATGCGGAAGAAACGTGAAGCCAATGCCACAGAATAAGGTACACAGAAGGCCGACTTCTTGGTTTTTCCTATGATTTTCCTATGATTTTGGCGTAACCCGTAATTCGTCATCAATATGGCGAATACTATATGGCGTGGAAATGGCGTGGAGGGTGACGTCACTGTTCACGCGTTGCTCACGCGAGGCTTCGCTTTTTAACTGCCAAATAACTGAATGTCATCATTCCAGGTAAAAAAATTGAGTTCACGTCATGGACGGTATTCGTGACTATTCGACGCTATGCTCAATGCCCATGCGTCTGGCTAAATCAAATTGTTTTCCATTTTTAATAAAAGGACGTATTTTGCTGTTTTACAGCAACTTTGTTGTTTTAAATTTCGTAACAAAGTTTACAGAAGTACAAAACGTTTTCGATTTTGTTTTCGATTTTAACTGGAAATAAGCCTGCAGTTTCATGAAGTAATGACGTTGATGTTTTTATTCATTAATTTAATCGTTGTTGTGCCGGTTTGGCCCAAGAGTTTGGGTAAGTGTAAACATTTCAGTAGTAAAATTCCATTCCGTACTTGCTTTGTGGTGTGTTGTCGATTTTATTCAAATCTGCGAAATTCTGTGCGAAAGCATGCATTCTTAACTCAATAATTCACAATAAATAATGTGTTTTAATGCAAGCTGACACTGGTGTACATGAAATTGCAGCGAATGTTATCGTTATTAAGCTAGCGCACAGTTGTATTTTTAAGTTTGTTTATATTGTTCTTAATACTGTATGTGGAGTTTTTATACTTCATCTGTTAAGAATCGAAAGGCGATGGGTTGCTACATCACCATGCATGTATTTTTTAGTAATCGTATCATATGAAGCAAAAGTTAATCTGTCATTTGTTGATTACAGTTGCTAATGTTAACTGTTGAATAACATTCACAAACTATTCGAGGAACATACTGTACATTTACTGTAGCAAAGAGGTCAATCATATATCGAAGACCAGTGAACAATAGAGAGTGTTTTGAAGGTCATGACTAATATACTTCACTCAATGAGTGAAGTATATTTAACAATTAGACAACAAGGCCGAGTTGTTTATGAGCGAATAGTCAACGAGGCGAAGCCGAGTTGACTATTTGCTCATAGCATAGACAATCAAAGGAATGGACTGGAAACGCCTGGCAAAACGAACGTGGCATCCGTGATACGGGCTAGCACGTATGAATTCATCAGTTACCGTGGCAACTGGCCTGTAATAAAGTTTAAAAAATGTAGATTTTGCATATATTTTCCCCCTATTTTTTAACAAACGCAAAGGTAAAAGATATTTTTTGGCGGTACCAAAAGCAGAGAATATATGCCAAGGTGAGTACGTGTATATTTTTAATTTTCCCTATAAAAACAATCATTATAACTTCGGTTTTTCACAACGTTGACAAAACAATGGACAACTTGCATGTTAGACTAAATTTTAATCTAAGCATAGAAAAGGGAATCAAACACCACAGCTAAAAAGAACATACCGGAATTAATAAAAGTGCAAAATTTGGCTGCGAAATGTTGTAAAGCTTGGAAAATATAGCCTTGCAAAGTTTCCATATTTTCAGTATATTTGTATTACGAGTGGAAATTGTTACCATTTTCGGCTCAAAAATGGTAACAATTTCCGCACGTAATACAAATATACTGAAAATATGCAAACTTTGCAAGGCTATATTTTCCAAGGTTTACAACATTTCGCAACCAAATTTTGCAAGTTTACTAATTTTAATAAGTTCTTCACGGGAATTTACTTTTCTTTTGCCTAGATCGGTTAGATCAAAAATTTGTCTAACATGCAAGTTGTCTATTACGCACGTATATTACATCTCTCCCTGTGTGGTTATATTTCGAACCCTGGAACTTGGCGACAAAGCTGTCACTTGTCTGCTAAGGGGCGGACCATTAGAAAATGGGGGAGGGGGGGTGGCAATTTCAGAAAAAAAAATCGTGCAAGGTCAGTTCAGAGGAAAAAAAAATCTTGCAGAAACCCAGCGTGGGAAAAAAATATCTTGCAAGTTATTAGACCAACATATATTTAGGTAAAGTTATAAACCTCAGAGAATAGTAAATCAATGGAAATATATAAACGTAAAAAATTATACATAATGTAGACTGTAGTTATATTAAACATACACATCTCAGTCTAAAATATTCAGTTGTACTGTCTTAAAATAACCTGTATTTAAAATATAAAGTTGATTTATATACAAACACTATATATTAACAAATAACGTCTATATCTCGTATAATAACGTCTATATCTCGTATTGTGTGTATGTAATGTAATTATATATTCAGTAAACAATATATATAATGGTAATATAAATAGGGCTGTATAATATTAATAAATTATAGTTCACATTCCTTTAAAAAAAAATCGTGCAACACAAGCATGGCTGAAATAAAAATCTTGCACAACGTTGTTGCAAAAAAAAATATCCTGCCCGAAAAAATTGCCACCCCCCCCTCCCCCATTTTCTAATGGTCCGCCCCTAAGGCATATAGCTTTATTCTCAAATGTAATGTTGATTCCACTAGGACGTTCACAAATCCCTGCGATATACAAATTTTGTAATAAATATATTTTTTAACAGCTCACCTTGCGCGACTACGAAAAGATGTCAATTTTTGTTGTTCTAAATTCGAACCCTGTAACTACAGTTTTAAAAGAGTTTGGGATTTTAAGGTTACATATTTTGAACAAGAATAGACTAATGAGTTCCACTATCGCTTTTTTAAACTTCTTTTTGGCAAAACAAACTCAAAAATCAATATTGAATGCGTGTGCATTGTCTTTGAAAACACAAATGTCGCGATTTTTGTTTTTCGAGTATACACTTACTTCGAACCCTGTAACTACAGTTTTAAAACAGTTTACGATTTTAAAGTCACATATTTTTAACAAGAATAGACTAGTGAGTTCCACTATCGCTTTTTTAAACTTCTTTTGCGTTAATAAGGCTAAAAATAATCAATGACTGTGTGCATACTATTTTTGACAACACAAATGTCGCCATTGCCCTGGTGTTTATGTGCATGGGTACGTACTGTATTAATATACTTCCAATAAAGTTCAAACGATTTTTACATTAACTTGACACCTCTTATTCAAATTAAACTTTAACTAAGTCAAAATATGTGACTTTAAAATCCTAAACTGTTTTAAAACTGTAGTTACAGGGTTCGAAGTAAGTGTATACTCGAAAAACAAAAATAGCGACATTTGTGTTTTCAAAGACAATGCACACGCATTCAATATTGATTTTTGAGTTTGTTTTGCCAAAAAGAAGTTTAAAAAAGCGATAGTGCAACTCATTAGTCTATTCTTGTTCAAAATATGTAACCTTAAAATCCCAAACTCTTTCAAAACTGTAGTTACAGGGTTCGGATTTAGAACAACAAAAATTCACATCTTTTCGTAGTCGCGCAAGGTGAGCTGTTAAAAAATATATTTATTACAAAATTTGTATATCGCAGGGATTTGTGAACGTCCTAGTGGAATCAACATTACATATGAGAGTATAACTATATGCCTTAGCAGACAAGTGACAGCTTTGTCGCCAAGTTCCAGGGTTCGAAATATAACCACACAGGGAGAGATGTAATATACGTGCGTAATTGTTTTGTCAACGTTGTGAAAACCCGAAGTTATAATGATTGTTTTTATAGGGAAAATTAAAAATATACACGTACTCACCTTGGCATATATTCTCTGCTTTTGGTACCGCCAAAAAATATCTTTTACCTTTGCGTTTGTTAAAAAATAGGGGAAAAATATATGCAAAATCTACATTTTTTAAACTTTTTTACAGGCCAGTTGCCACGGTAACTGATGAATTGATACGTGCTAGCCACTGATCTAATAGTAGACTGGATATAGCTTCTCTAGGCATAGGCAGCCCAACAATCCGCACGCCGTGACGTATGATGCAGTAGTATAATATCCTAAGGTTGGCAAGTAAATAATATCATGACTCGCCACGGCTTAAACAAGTCGAAAAAAACAACGTCTCATGAACAAAGTACGCTAAAAAATAGCAGCCTCTACTTGTAGGATAGTTTTACTAAATATGTACAACGTTTTTTTGCAACAACACGAGTTTATAAGACGAAAAAATACGAAAGTTTTCTTTGAATTTGCCGTGTCTCGATGCGGGATGCCTGTTGCCATGCGAAAATCGCAGTTTCAAAACACGTATACGCGATCCTATTGGCTATCAAAAAACCGACAAAACAGCTTACAGGGGGGGAGTTTACCATTTGTCCGCTAGCAAAAATGCTTTCGAGTTAGTTCGAATGAAAAAGATTACGGCAGTAGTGCACGCAACTGCTATGTTTATAGCCGATCACGTCGTCCGGTGATCTGTGGATTATTTGTCAAAATTTGTCTGTTTTAAAGTATCAAGCGGCGGCAAGGTTCGGTCGCCAGTTTAACTGCACTGGCGACTTTTCAAAACATTATAAATCGACTTGCAAAAACTGAAGATGATCATCGAACAGATACTGCACGGTGAGTTTTCTGCATGTAGATTGTAGCCGGTTTAGCTATAGTATTGAACTCATTTCCAAATCGTTTTCTTAATTTTGTATGTAGCGCCTAGCGGGAATGTTTTTTAAAAAAACTTTCATGTACAATATATTAATGCAGGTATCAGCGGCTTTCCCGGGGGGTCGACCCCCGGGCCACCCCGGGGATTTGTCAAAACAGCCTTGACAAAAGGACACTAATGCCCGTGGGTTGGGGCAAAATTTTGTCACAAATGCCCCTACCTCCGGGGCGAAATTTGGAAAACAATAATTTCAAATATAACAAATGGTTATTTACAAAGAAATTTGTAGTAAGTTAATATACTTATTAACATAATTTTGGGCATCTCGTTCAATAAACAATGAAGCGTAGGCCGTAAAGAAGATATTTTTGAACTAAAAATTCATACACAATTTTATATCGGGACATTTGTTATTAATACGTTTGCTATTTTAACCTATTTAATAAATCAGTATCCGATACAAAACGTTTAAAAAGTTTGTGTCCTTTATAGTTTCAAACAATTATTCTGGTGTTTCCAACTTTTATTGAGGATAGATGGCTAATTATTCATTTATAAATAAAAGGATTAAATTACATTCACCTACCATCGATTGCTACTAAGCGGAAACGCGTCATGAGAAAACGCCTGCCTCGTACCCAGGCGGTATGTTGTTCTATTGCTCGCGTGGCCTTTGCGTGGGACGCGTGCCGTCCCACGTGTACAAACCAAAGCGCCTGGGTACGAGGCAGAGAAAACGCGATCTATAAATTGGACATAGCTTGCGTAGCCAGCGGTTTGCCTCGCCTCCCTAATTTTCGTTGCCCGCGCCTCAACCCCAACCCTTAAAACTGCCGGCTACGCAGGCTAATTGGACATGAAACATAACATGTTTGGACTTCAAACTTTACATGATTTTGCTGGAAACATTTGACGGTTTACAATTATTTTTTCTGCGAAAACGTAACAAAGTTAGTACAAACATTGCAAACCGCAATACTGAATTTGTCCACTATAAACACAAAATATAAGGCCTGTTACATACGTCGAATTTAATTCAGACGAATTTAATCACGGATTTAGTGTTTGCAAGCTAATCCCCGCCCAATATGAATGTGTTTCTAAATTTGAAATATTGACAGTTGACTGTGAGTGTCAATATTTCAAATCCAAATTTCAAGTCCAAACAAATCATGTTTGACAGCCAATTGGACGCGTTTTCTCATGACATGTTTCTGCTTTATAGTTGCAATCAACGGTATATTGTTCATGTGCTTCGAAATGCTTCGAATTTGCTTCGAACTTCGAAGGTTCGAAGCGTCTTCAAAAATCATAATTAAGAATTTTTTTGATGAATCACCGCTGACCGATATAGCAGCAGTCCATATGCAAATCCCGGGCGTTTGCCCCCGGGGTTAATTTTCAAAATACAAATGTAGGCTAAATCCCGGGTCTCCGGGGCGTGATTTTAAAACAAATCCGTGCCATGCCCGGGGGTTGCCCGTGAGTTGCCCGGGGGTCGACCCCCCGGGAAAGCCGCTGATACCTGCATAATTCGTTTATTGAAGTCGGACGCGAAGACGTGAAAATAGCTGCTGTATGCTGAGTTTTAACACAAATGCGGCGAGAATATGTGTTTTTTGAAAACTTTCTTGCACTGTCTATATAGTCTGTAGACTATATACTTGGCCAATATCTGAGTGGTCATGAATCATGATTAAAAAAAAAACAAACATGAATATATTAAAATAAAAACTGTTTGAACCTTATACTACAAATATAAAAAATAAAAAATATTTTGATCTTCTCATTTTCCAAAGTCTGGCTTTAATAGGCCTTTATCCTACCCATGGCACATCACTTTAATAAAACATTTTGAGATGTTTATACTGTAGTATACATGTTGTTTTTATGTTGTTGAAATGAGTTCAATATCGTGATAAAAATATGCGAATACCCGAATTTATATATACACAAAAATCTGTTCTGCAAATTAAAGTTGATACTCAAATACTGACAGTGTTCAAAATTCAACTTTTCGGTTTTATACCTGCACGTTTTTTAATTAAAGGACAATGGGTCAATGCTAAACTCGAGGGGTCCGACACGGCCACATGAAGCGTACGAGATTTCGAAATCACGTGATTTCTAACCTGATTTCTTGATTTCTAATCTGATTTCTGTTGATTTCTAAACGGATTTCTGTTGATTTATAATGCGATTTCTTGATTTCTAACGTGATTTCTGACCTGATTTCCTGATTTCTAACCCGATTTCCTGATTTCTGTGAGTTACCGCTGTCATATAAGACTGTGGGCTCAATAATAACGAAGTTTTAGTGATTTCTGATTTCAAAATTGACTAATTTCTCTCGTGATTTCTTGATTTCGGGTTTGATTTCAGTTGATTTCTGAGTCGAGTGTACGAGATTTCAGCCGTGTCGGACCCCTCGGCTAAACTACAATCTACATGCAGAAAACTCACCGTTCAGTTTTTGCAAGTCGACTTATAATGTTTTGAAAAGTCGCCAGTGCAGTTAAACTGGCGACCGAACCTTGCCGCCGCTTGATACTTTAAAACAGACAAATTTTGACAAATAATCCACAGATCACCGGACGACGTGATCGGCTATAAACATAGCAGTTGCGTGCACTACTGCCGTAATCTTTTTCATTCGAACTAACTCGAAAGCATTTTTGCTAGCGGACAAATGGTAAACTCCCCCCCTGTGAGCTGTTTTGTCGGTTTTTTGATAGCCAATAGGATCGCGTATACGTGTTTTGAAACTGCGATTTTCGCATGGCAACAGGCATCCCGCATCGAGACACGGCAAATTCAAAGAAAACTTTCGTATTTTTTCGTCTTATAAACTCGTGTTGTTGCAAAAAAACGTTGTACATATTTAGTAAAACTATCCTACAAGTAGAGGCTGCTATTTTTTAGCGTACTTTGTTCATGAGACGTTGTTTTTTTCGACTTGTTTAAGCCGTGGCGAGTCATGATATTATTTACTTGCCAACCTTAGGATATTATACTACTGCATCATACGTCACGGCGTGCGGATTGTTGGGCTATTTATGCTCTAGGTGTGAAAAGTGAAGCCAAATTATATATGCGAAAATCACTTCCGGGGACCACGGAGTGATACAAATTACTATAGAAATGTATGGCGAACAACGTGAACCAAGGTGAATTTTCCCGAATTTGAGATACTTTGCGAAGTTTTACCAAGCTGATCGCTCCACCGTGGGTAAAATATGTTATGTTAATGTTTTTAAAACGAAAATTATCCAGATTGCCCTAAAATATCGTCAGTTTTGTTCGTTCAAAGTTGTCCATGCGGGAATAATATTTTATCGCCACAGTGGTATGACAACACAGTTTCTAGTTTGCTTTCCAATTACGGAGGCAGAATATGATCTACTATACTCAAGCATCCTTTTAAAGGAAAGTTAGTAGTTCATTTTATCATTTATGTTTAACCTTGATCGACCAGAGAGTTTCAAACTTTCAATTATCCATCTTACTTAAGCCTTTTTACAAAATATATAGACATGTCTTAGTTGGTACTATAAAAGATATTTGTACTTTTAGTACTTTTTTATTTGTTATTCTGTTAAACTGGAAAGCAACCTTAATGAAGCTTTCTGTAGAGTGAATCTACTGTAATAGTGAAGTTGAATTTTGAATTAGAACAACATAATTGAATTAAAATGTGGGGTGTATTTATCATTCAATATCTAATTGAGTATAAATATAAGAACAAATATAAAATATATAAGTTAATTTGAAATAATAAACCTTAACCACTGATGGACTCAACTCTTTGATACCAAAGTAAAATTGTCAGGCAACTATAGGCAGTGTGATATTCTGACAATAGAAGATAAAATATAGTATGACATGCTTTTTTAGGTTGCCTTGCCAATTATTGATGAAATTATCTCTAATATTTAAAAGTTTCTAATTACCTATACTTTAAAAGCATGGTTTCCATGATCAGTTGTGCTGTTTCGACAATGTCAAGAAACCCCAGGTGACAAAACACAACATTTGAACCAAGGCATGAGAAAGTCCACTAGCATGGCAGCATGCTGCCAGGAAATTTTTTTAATCTCACAGGAAATTTTTAAGGAAAAGCAAGGTATCAAGAATGAAGCTCGAGAAATTTCAAAAATCAGCACAACCTTGTACCCAGGGCTTGCATTAAAGTAACAAACATCACAATTAGAGCATAAATACAACAATCATAACATAAAAATTTGTATCATGTGGCAATGCTATATATACGACTGTCTGTTATTATGATTATGATAGATGTGGAAAACAAGGGCATACTACTATTATTGAATAGTGCATGAATACTGATATAAATTCAGATTTACAATCTGAAAACAAAATTCAACTATTGTTTCATAGAATTCCTTCATGTTCCTAATTCTAGTAAACCTATATTTTTCTTTATATGACTAATTAGTAAGGTACTTTAGTATTTTTGCACAAGTGATCATAACAAATCCTACATGTTGATTGGTCAAATCTTCGTCTCGGCGAATATTCCCGACTAATCACCTCGCCTTCAGAGAATAATTGTTAAATACACGACACTGTTATTGAATTACAACCAATGGTCTGGGCAGCCTGCTGCCAGGAAGAAAAAATATTTTATCAAGGCTTGATTTGAACTGCAACCCGTCTTTCTTTTTTGAATACCCCTGGGCTTGGGGTGTGTATAAACCCACAGGCACATGTATAGGGTGTCCCAAAAAATGTCCCCTCTGTTGTTGGTTAAGTACTATAAAGCCTGGAGTCACAATCTTTCTCATCAGCCGAAATACAACATTTTAGAACTGAAAATATGCAGAGTGATTATAACTAGTGAATACTTATGATTTATATGTGGTTTACAGGTATAAACTATTATATACTGACCTTTGAGAAAATTGTGACTCTATTTTTATGACTGTTATGACCATATGGAAACCAGGCTTTACTCACAGTAATTAACCAACAACAGAGGGGACATTTTTGGGACACCCTGTATATGCTGGGAGTTTGGTGGAAAAGCACAAATGGATATTTTACGATAACAAACGTTTATATATAAATGATCAAAATTAATGAACAATACACTCAACCTCTGGAGTCTCTGCAGGCACTATAAATACAATATACACTCTGCAACTGAAAATTCAAAATTCAACTGCAATATAAAAGTAGATTCACTCTTACTACAGAAAGCTTCATTAAGATTGTCTTCCAGTTTAACAGAATAACAAATAAAAACAAGTACTAAAAGTACAAATATATTTTATATTATATACTACTGTATATATATTTTGTAAAAAGGCTTATTACGATGGATAATTGAAAGTTTGAAACCTTCTGGTCGATCAAGGCTAAACATAAATGATAAATGAACTAATTACTTCCCCTTAAAAGTTTGCTTGATAATATTCTGCCTCCGTAATTGGAAAGCAAACCAGAAATTGTGCTGTCATACCACTGTGGCGATAAAATATTATTCCCGCATGGACAACTTTGAACGAACAAAACTGACGATATTTTAGGGCAATCTGGATAATTTTCGTTTTAAAAGCATTAACATAACATCTTTTACCCACGTTGGAGCGATGAGCTTGGTAAAACTTCGCAAAGTATCTCAAATTCGGGAAATTCACCTTGGTTCACGTTGTTCGCCATACATTTCTATAGTAATTTGTATCACTCCGTGGTCCCCGGAAGTGATTTTCGCATATATAATTTGGCTTCACTTTTCACACCTAGAGAAGCTATATCCAGTCTACTATTAGATCAGTGGTGCTAGCCCGTATCACCATAGATTAAGTAAGAACAGATGTGTAACTTCAGTAAAAAATTTGTCCCACGGTCGCCATCTTCCTAGCAAGTGTCGCTCGCGTGATTATTCGTCATTTGGTAGTACGTCATTGCCTTTAAAAATGTTTTCAACACCTTTTCTACAACTTTAATT